ACATAAGATACATACATACATATATATATATATATATATATATATATATATATATATATATATATATGTATGTATATATATATGTATATATATATATATATATATATATTATATATATATATATATATATATATATATATATATATATATATATATATATATATATATATATGTATATATATATGTATATATATATATATATATATATATATATATATATATATATATATATATATATATGTATATATATATATGTGTGTGTGTATATGTATATGTATATATATACGATCACAAACATAAAGAGGAAGTGGATGTTTCTTTCGCCTACATAAGCTAAAAATACTAATGATATAGAAAAACTTGTTCCTGATATGTAAGTTCATTATAATACTGAGCTTAATTATATGATAAAAAAAAAGTACTGAGTATCTTTCAAATAAATTAGAGATTCAAAAAAAAAAATATGTCCCATTCCACTAAAGGAATTATAGGAGACAACGGAAACCGAGCCATTCTTCGGCAATTCAGTTTTAAACCCGAACCTAACACTTCGCTGTCTCAATACGCCGATTCAACCTCGAAGGTAAAAAATACGGAGTGAATAACACCATACACAATATGCATTTTCTTATGTGAGGATGTGAGACTTTAGAATATCTTGTTGTTGTAGTTTTTACAATGGACTAGGATTTCTAAGTGAATTATTTGAGCATCATTGTGGTTAGTTATGTAAAAACATTGACGTTCTTATACTGGAACCGGCAATAGCTCACGTACAGTATATCCTGCCTGTTAAATGTTAACATACTTGTTCTTTAGAGATAAATGGAAATGCCGTTTCTTTGATTCAGAGGAAGTGTATAATGAGAAGCTGCTATACATTTTCTTGTGAAAGGATACGCACTTCTGTTACGGTTGCCACTGATTATGTCACTACAAACGTATATTAGTACTTAAGATGTATTTGACATTGTGTGGACTTAGAATTCACCAAAGCAATATGCCTGTATTGAAGCACTCTCAGTATCTTGTATTATATCAAAGTTGGTTGACAGAACACCTCTCTCAAAGAGAGTGCACTTTTAGTATTGATTTACAAAATAGGAGGGTAGTTGTTTAGAGGGTATGTGAAGGGACTTTTAAAACAATATTTTCTCTTGATAACATATACTGTGTTCTCTCAAAATCCACTTGCAACTTACTGAGTTAAAGTACATATAATCTTAATTTCAAAGGGATAGTGGGTGCTGTGTCAGGCAGTCATAATGCCCTTCGCATTTTGCACTCAGATGAAGGCAAACAATCCTTTACATTATAACTTGTAGCAAGATAGAGCTTGGACTGCTTGCCTCTTCGAAAATTGATCTTGGGGAGACTCACAAGTTATGTCTAGCTAATATATAGGCAATGGAGTGTTTGTTGCCTTTTGCCTGAATGTTGACAGCTATTTGTCAAATAGGGTGTGTAGTTACAAACAAAAAACAACAAAAAATGCATAGAAACAGTTAGTATTTTTTATGAATTTCATGTGTAGCACACAAGTTACCAGAAAAACTCCGTGAAAAAGATTGGAAACCCAGAAGAAATAAAATTCTATGTATCAGATTAACTTGCTGAACTAGGTAGGTAGATGAGTCAGTGAATATTGGCAGTCTTATAATTTTAAAGTCACTGTTGGTGATACATTTGGCTGAGTATTTTATTGATTTAATTTTCTCTCTTCTTCACATTTCTTTTTTTTTGAAGACAGGTATAATGGTTCTTCAGTGTTCAAGATTACTCCTGTTAAAATCATTGCAAAAGCCATGGTTTCCAGCATTTATAAGGCTAAACTCAACAACAGCACAAATCTCATCAGGAAAAGTAAGTATTTTCTCTCTCAATTAATATCTTTGGTATAGGTATAAATGTGAATATAAACTATAGTTCTACAATCATTTATAAATATTTATAGCATTTTTATGACATTCGTAAAACTTGCAAGTGATTTAAAATATACTGAATTCTTACAGATACAAATTGGAGAAAAGACATATGATGCAGATGAAATGACAAATGTGACACCCAGAATCCTGTCACACCTTGACAGGAATCTTCATCTCCAAAAGCACCATCCCTTGAACCATATTTCCCAAAGAATAACCAAGTTCATGTATTCACGATACTTGAGTCCCAGAGGAAATCCCCTCTTTTCCATCCACAATAGATTACAACCTATTGTCACTCCTCATCAAAATTTTGACTCACTGTTGATCCCCAAAGATCATGTTAGTAGGAAAAAGAGTGATAATTACTATATTAATAAGGATTTCCTCCTGCGTGCCCACACAAGTGCCCATCAGGTAAGGTCACAGAAGAACCACAAATAAATTTTCCTCTTCTTCTTCTTCTTCTTCTTCTTCTCCTCTTTATCTTCTCTTTATCTTGTTAACTCGTGATGTTTAACATGGGATAACTCATTGATATAGACATTTTTCTCTTCTTTGTAATGAGAGATATATATGAAAGAATCTCTTGATTAATGATAGCACCTCATTTAAATGTATTTTTCATAATTTCAGAGTGAATTGATTAGTATGGGTTTTGATAACTTCATGGTTATGGGTGATGTTTACAGAAGAGATGAAATTGATGCATCACACTATCCAGTGTTCCATCAAGTAGAGGGTGTGAGGTTAACCACAAAGAGTGAGGTAAGAACAGTATCTAAAACAAAGACCTGAGATGTTTTATTTAAATTGGTTTATAAGTTTACCTTTTGGCTCTTGAAGATTTCATATTGTGTTAGCTTCCCGTAATGGAAGCATTCCATTCAGTGCTAAAACTTCTGCAAGATTAAACATCTTTCTGGTTTCTATGGCGTATCTAGATATCTAGGAACAGTAGAACATTAAACTTCAATGAGTTTATTGTTGATGATGTTGTATCTCAAAGGCCATTATTTATTTTCAGCTTTTTGGAAGTCACCAAAACATGGACGATTTTCAACTCTTTGAAAATACAGAACGTTCAGAAACCCAACAGGGAGTTCACAATCTAGAGGCTGTGAAGCTTCTAGAGGCAGATTTAAAAGGTTGTCTTGAGGGTTTGGCAATGACTCTGTTTGGCAAAGGTATGACTATGTTCTTTTTATATCCTGATTATGTATGCTCTGTATTAAACGTTTGAAGTTTGCTTCATCTCAGAAAATATGAGTTATATGAATTGGTTATAACATATAATAAGATAGTGGAAAGGATAACGAATGTAATTACTTATTCCATAATGTTAGTTACTGTAAATATCTTAATGGATAGCACTGTATTGATGAAGATACAGTATAATACACTTGTGTTAAGATTACAAGATATTATTAAATATTAAAAACAAAGCAATGTATACAGAACTTTATTTCACTAAAAGTACATGTGCTGGCCTCCTATTTCAGATGCTGAAATGAGGTGGGTAGATGCCTACTTTCCATTTACTCATCCTTCTTGGGAACTTGAAGTTAAACTAAATGATGACTGGGTAGAGCTTCTTGGTTGTGGTGTGATTGAACAGGAAATTCTAGTAAATGGTTAGTCTAAGTTCTTGTCATTTTTTTCTTATATATAATTTTTCTGATATTTATATACTGGCAAATGTAAAAAAAGGTGAACTTCTTAAGAATGAGTTTGGAATTTTATCTGCCAAAGTAATTATTATAAGAACAATTGTAGTTATTATTGTATTGTTAATATACAAAATACTAAAATATTTTCAAATATCTGTAAAGCTTTTGGAAAACTACTTCAGCCTCCATGAATGGCTTAGATGTATGTTCTATAAAGTTTTTATTATTTTTTGTTATTATTGTTGCTAAATCAGTCTAATGCATTTTCTCTTTGTAGCTGGGGTGATAGACAAAGTTGGCTGGGCGTTTGGCCTCGGACTGGAGCGATGGGCCATGAAGCTTTATGACATCCCAGATATTAGGTTGTTCTGGTCATCAGATTCTGGGTTCCTGTCACAATTTAAATTTGAGGATTCATCCTCGAATATTAAATATAAGGTAGATCCTTTCTTACACAAAATGTAAACTTAATAGATTGGTTAATTGATATAATTGTGTGATTCATGTTTTTAACTTAATATTTATTGTTTTTAACTCTTTTTTTCTTTTTTTTAGACTGTGAGTCAATATCCACAGTGTATCAATGACATCAGTTTTTGGCTTCCTAGAGATGGAGCATATGAACCTTCCGACTTTTATGATCTTGTAAGGAACATTGGTGGCAGCACTGTAGAGCAGGTGAGGCATCATTTAGTGACTGCAGAAAGAATGAACATGTTTTTACTGTAAAATAGGCCAAGGTTAAAAAAGAAGTGCGTTCACGGTAAAGAGTCTTGCAAATGTATATATTTGAATGTAATGATATAGGTGTTATATTTCCCAATTGTACTAGTCTATATAAGAGAAGTATTATTAAGGAATTACTCTCATATTTATTTGCACTTTCAGGTTACCCTTATTGATAATTTCACTCACCCAAAAAAGAAACTGACCTCCCACTGTTACCGAATAGTGTATCGGCACATGGAGCGGACTCTTACTCAGGAAGAAGTCAATGTTATACACAAAGAGATAGAAAAGACTGCTTCAGAATCTCTAAATGTTGTAATCAGATAACTGCCGTTCAACAAGGGAAAAAGGTAAAAGTATCCTCTGGCAAGAAGTTCAGAAGTGAATAGATTTCCATTATGAGTTTTTTTAAATTGTTTTCCGAGTACCAGATACCTATTTGACTTCCTTGAATCCATGTGTGTTTTCTCTTTTGTAAAGATTTTGAGATTTTTTTTATTTTTCAAGATAGATATGTATCTATGTAGAAATTTATGTATATATGGTATGTAAATAAATAATTTGTTATCAAATACAATTTGCATTTTTGTTCATAAACCCTTAAAATCTGCTTACTAATATATTTACTTAAGAACACACAGACCACAGACAATCAGTACTCAGTGATAATATCAAGATGTGCACAACTTTCAGAAAAAAAGACGAGGGGGGGGGGGAGATGGAAACTTCAGGTATTGTCAATGAAACAATTGTAAAGTAAGATTATATTTTCTCGGGTACTAAAAGGGATGTTAATCCTCATGCTGATACTTTATTTTATGATTGTGCCTGTATTATTCTTTCGTGTGTATTTGAGGTGAAAGAACTAGGCTCATATACCTGATACCTGTCCAACACATCTGGTTTCAGTTAGTATCCTTACGTAAAATGAAGAGGGAGAGTGGACATATTCTTTTGAACTATTTTTGTATTTGTTTTTCTCTTCTTTTCTTTTCTTTTCCACTTGTATATTGATATGTTTTGTTATAGAACTTTTGTGTGTATGTGTGTGGAATGTGGATATATAATGGATATATAACCACTTCCGTACACGGAGATTAAATACTTTTTGCTAGTTTTTGCTTTTTCATTTGATTAAGAACTCGAAGTGTACCCCTGGGAGTTAGTTTGGCTTCCTAGAGATGGAGCATATGAACCTTCCGACTTTTATGATCTTGTAAGGAACATTGGTGGCAGCACTGTAGAGCAGGTGAGGCATCATTTAGTGACTGCAGAAAGAATGAACATGTTTTTACTGTAAAATAGGCCAAGGTTAAAAAAGAAGTGCGTTCACGGTAAAGAGTCTTGCAAATGTATATATTTGAATGTAATGATATAGGTGTTATATTTCCCAATTGTACTAGTCTATATAAGAGAAGTATTATTAAGGAATTACTCTCATATTTATTTGCACTTTCAGGTTACCCTTATTGATAATTTCACTCACCCAAAAAAGAAACTGACCTCCCACTGTTACCGAATAGTGTATCGGCACATGGAGCGGACTCTTACTCAGGAAGAAGTCAATGTTATACACAAAGACATAGAAAAGACTGCTTCAGAATCTCTAAATGTTGTAATCAGATAACTGCCGTTCAACAAAGGAAAAAGGCAAAATTATCCTCTGTCAAGAAGTTCAGGAGTGAATAGATGTCCATTATGAATTTTTTATTGTTTTCCGAGTATCAGATACCTATTTGACTTTCTCTTTTGTAAAGATTTTGAGATTTTTTTTTTTTCAAGATAGATATGTATCTTTGTAGAAATTTATGTATATATGTTATGTAAATAGATAATTTGTTATCAAATACAATTTGCATTTTTGTTCATAAACCCTTAAAATCTGCTTACTAATATATTTACTTAAGAACACACAGACCACAGACAGTCAGCACTCAGTGATAATATCAAGCTGTGCACAACTTTCAGAAAAAAAAGACGAGGGGGGGGGGGAGATGGAAACTTCAGGTATTGTCAATGAAACAATTGTAAAGTAAGATTATATTTTCTCGGGTACTAAAAGGGATGTTAATCCTCATGCTGATACTTTATTTTATGGTTGTGCCTGTATTATTCTTTCGTGTGTATTTGAGGTGAAAGAACTAGGCTCATATACCTGATACCTGTCCAACACATCTGGTTTCAGTTAGTATCCTTACGTAAAATGAAGAGGGAGAGTGGACATATTCTTTTGAACTATTTTTGTATTTGTTTTTCTCTTCTTTTCTTTTCTTTTCCACTTGTATATTGATATGTTTTGTTATAGAACTTTTGTGTGTATGTGTGTGGAATGTGGATATATAATGGATATATAACCACTTCCGTACACGGAGATTAAATACTTTTTGCTAGTTTTTGCTTTTTCATTTGATTAAGAACTCGAAGTGTACCCCTGGGAGTTGTTTCAAAGTTATCAAGGATGAAGGGATTTATTATTTTTTTTTTTTTTATGAGAAAACGTGGTGCCAATGATCCGTATTCTCATGTTGGGGTAGCTTGAGGTAATCAGAGGTAGTTTTCCCATTTAAGCTTGGTAGTTGTGCAGACTACATGCTTTGGTGATTTTTAAAATTATTATTTGTATTACTGTCATGTCTTTAATCTTTTCTAATAAGCCGCAAATGACGCAACATGAGGCGTGATATAACGTAGGAGAATCATTCCTTTCCGTTCCCCGAATCATCATTGCTTCACATTATAAGAACTAAAACACATCTTTAAAAAAAATAATAGTTAGAAGCGAGTTAAAAAACGAAATCCCTAATGAAAAAAACGGATCTCATCTAAATCAACTCAAATCACGCCCAACATCACGCAAAACACCTCGAAGACGAAGGCGAAGTCATGCGGCGGCGTTCGGACGTCAGAGGTAAACAACACGATGGCCGGCGGAGGAAGACGCGAAATTCTCTCCCTCTATAAATCGCTACTGAGAGAGAGCATGAAGTTCCCTGCTTATAATTTCAGGTGATTATATGAGTTAAAGACGCCCTTTTAAGTATGGGGAAGATATTTGTGATTTTTCTCCTAATGGGGAGAGTGTTGCGCGTACTTAGGGGGGAGGAGATCTTGCGTGATGACACGGGGAAGAGATCGGGATTTTCCGAATAGGTGGAAACGTGTCTGCCCTTCTGGTTATGTTTTTTCTTTGTATTTTGTTATATGTTGATGTTATATGTTGTATTCTGTTATAATTTAAAAACTGAAGTGCTGTTGTACTGACGAAAATGAGTTATGAGAGTGGAGTATAGAAGATTCCAGTATTCGTGTCACTGGTGTAGTCTTATAATTTCATATCTAGATTAATTCTAAATGTCGGCTTTAGAAAGCTTCCTCAACATTGATTCTGGAGTGTGCTACAAAAAGGGTAGAATTGGCAATGTACACTCGCTTAAAAAAAAAAAAAAGTATTTATATTTGGGAATAGGTAAAACCAAAACAATTGCTAGGAACTGATTCGGAACAGATGAAACTTCATAATGCAATTGAATAGTGTTTCAGAGTTGATGTGGCTAAGGACTCGTATCATGGCAATATTAGCAATTGGAGATCTCATAGACCATTCATAGCATCATAATTAAGCTTTATTCTGAAGGACTATCAAGAGCTGAAATATCAGTAAGATTAGGTATTTTGAAGCCAACCGTGATTCTGTGGATCCAGCAACACCAAGCAATAGGATCCACCAGAAACAGGGTCAGAAGTGGCCACCCACGACAGAGGAAGATCAAGTAAATGTCATTCAGAATTATATATCAATGTGCTATTTGAAACACAAATGGGAGGCTTGCAATGAAGTGCATGAATATCATGAGCTAATGAAAAACATTTGATATTCAGTGGCTACACCCCTCAGAGCTGATTGTGTTTGAATAGGGAGTGTGGCCGGTAGTTAGGTGCCACATCCGCTTGCCATAAGTAATTTTCTTAGTTATTTATTTTCATTATTTTATTCTCTTTTTCTCTTTCTCTCTTTCTTTCTCTCTTTCTCTTTTTCTCTTTCTCTCTTTTTCTTTCTCTCTTTTTCTTTCTCTCTTTTTCTTTCTCTCTTTTTCTTTCTCTCTTTTTCTTTCTCTCTTTTTCTTTCTCTCTTCTCTTTCTCTCTTCTCTCTTCTCTCTTCTCTCTTCTCTCTTCTCTCTTCTCTCTTCTCTCTTCTCTCTTCTCTCTTCTCTCTCTCTCTCTTCTCTCTTCTCTCTTCTCTCTTCTCTCTCTCTCTCTCTCTCTCTCTCTCTCTCTCTCTCTCTCTCTCTCTCTAATGATCCCTTTTGTCCTGCTGGCAACTTCTAGTGGGCTTTGCATTATGCTGCAGTACACAGACTGTCAGAAACTGCCCCCCTGATTAAATTATGGAAGCCTCCATAAGTCTGGTAAGAATTATGGACTGATACCTTATTTGATGAGCAATTGATTTGGAGTTTACATTGCTGGATAAATGTGGGAGAACTAAGTTTGCCATAGCTGGAGTGCCAGCAGGCAATATGGGCTAATGACAGATATGCTGTATTTTTTTTTAGAATTTTAGATTCATCCTTTGTGGATTTTTTGCATTTTGCACCCCAAACAAGTTTTCAGTGAAATAATTTGTGCTTCTCAAAGTGAAAATGAAATAGAAGGCCAGCATTTATTACCTTTTGTTTACATGAGAGGTGACTCCTTTTGATTGAAGACAACTCTTAGCTTTCCAAAGGAAGATATTTTGTACTCTTAGCACTATATATAACCTATTTCATATACACACCTTGTAAGTATGCACAAAAAAAAAGATGTAAAGTTCAAAATCTCTGAACTAGGTACCTGGTTGGAGAAATTTGATACTTGGTTGGAAAGTGTGTATTTTACATATATTCTAAAGGGTAAAGAATTGAATAGGTCTGCACCAGTGGTTTACACATAGATATAGTAATGGATGTAAGAAGCCCAACTTTATGCTTATAAATACAGTGCTCATCATTTTATACCCACCCCTGTAGCAGAAGTGGAAAGAAATAGAAGAGTACAGCTTGAGGTTTTAGTTATTTAGTTATGGAACAGAATGTATAAGTCAAAAATTAATTCATTAGTTATGATTTGAGCATGACAAAGGAAAGACAGCAACTTTTTTCTCTACTTTGTCTGTGATTTTCCACCCACCTTGTGAATAAATAACAAAGACATTTTGAAAAAAATTACTAGACAAAAGGCGGCTGGACACCAAACTAAAGTATCCAGTATATTACAGAAGTACTGCTAGTGTTTCAGAGAGTAAGTGTGTTAAGACCTAAAAAAATCCAAGGAAGGTCTTAAAAAATAAACATTAAAGCTCTGCTTGTGTAATTCTTAAAGTAAAGTGAACATTCATACCACTGTTTCCTTCAGTTAGTGGCCAGCTTCCTTATCTCATTTTTTTTCACTTGTTTCTGGTATTAATGTTTTTCTTAAACTTCTAATGAGGCCAGCAAACCCCAAAAAGTAACACAAGGTATACAGAAAAGAGAAAAGCTGATATCTTCCCTTTGTCAGTTATAAATAGGAACTACTTAATGGACTTTTGATTTCCTAAGTGTTTTTCTATCTCAGATCTCTGACCACAATGCATAACAATGATTGATAATCCATGCCTTTTTCTTAAATTTTATTTTTCAGTTAATGTGCTCTCAGGTTTTTCATTCATCTGGAAAGAGTAACATTTTGGTATTCAGTATGGATAATCATTGGCTATTTTCTTAATTTATCCATTTTTATGCATTTCATATTATTCTCTACTGTTTCTTATATCTGTCTAGTCTTACATGTATTGTGAGGGCTGGATTAGGAGTTTTTTTTCTTTTCTTTAGTTATTATTATTTCTCTTCCTCTAACTCTTATCTCTACCTCTACTTCTTCCTCTTCTTCATCCTCCTCCTCCTCCTCTCCTTATTTCATGTCACAGGTAAGGGCTATAATAAAGGTGGTTGAATACCTTTACCTACATGTGTATTCACAACAAAAATATCTTTTGCAATAGAATCAAAATGTTCTTCAAATGTACTGGATGGCGTGTTTTCCTTTCAGAGAATATGCACTTCGGAGAGTTCGAGATGGATTTAAAATTGGCAAAAATATTACCAACGAAGCTGAGCAACAGAGAGAAATACAAGTGGCTAGAGAATCTTTAGACGTGATAAGGAGACAAGTAAGTTACCATGTCCTGGGCATCTAGACTAGTTTATGTATTCTATGGAAAAGGCTCTCCAGTCTGCTTTTTAAATAATTTTCTTGGATAGCTCATCATGGAAAGCGCATTTATAATTTTTTCGTAATATGGCTTTCAGTACAAATATCAAGATTATTTTCTAGTATATAAGGCAGCCATGCTGGTATTTTTATTCAAAGTGTTTTATTGGAAATTACTCACTTTTGCATAATATAGTCACACTGTCCTCTCTAGTTGCAATATTTTGTGTTGTGTGTATATATTTTCAGGTTTTTCTTTTTTATATGAAAATGTTAACACCTTTTTCATTTTTTCTTCTTCTATTCCAGGTTGTAATTGGTCATCTTTACACCCCCCCAAATCTTGTAATCGAAAAGTAGCATGCAACACAAAACGGAAAATTGCGTTTTTTATTTGTTTTTCAGGTTGTTAAGATAAGAATAGTAAATTACTCACCATTGTTTCATACACAAGTTATTTTTTTTTTTTTTTGTCTATGTACTGATACAAACTCTATTATAATAAACAGATAAAGGAAATGTGCGGTTGGTGTCCCTTTAAACAGAGTAAAGTTTAAGGAAAAGGCTCAAGATATGCTACCTAATATATTTATTAGTCACCTTGTTGTCTTTCCCTTTTTCTTTTTGTATACAATTCATAAGCAGTATTTAGAATACATCTTTATTTTCTAGAAATCATATGAAAACTTTTAACAGGCCTTATAATTAAACAGTTATCCCAAAGTAAATGTACACTTTAAATGCATGTTCTAATGCAGTATATGCTCACTGTGCCTTTCTGAAGAGGCAGATATTCAAGCTGGATGGTGAAAATCACATGTATAAAATAAAAAGTACTTCCTATGATTTTTCACCAAAATGTACATAGCAATTCTTTTAAGTAGAGACTAATTTAAGCTTTGATTTTGTCAATGCACAGAATAATTGTTATTTATTTTTTCCCTGAAAATAAAACTGTATTGTTGAAGTTTTATACAAGTATATGTTCCGTTTCTTGATTTTGAATATAAATAAATGTATATAAATATAAATTTTCATCAGATTGCTATTTCATTACCTATTCACAGTAGATCATAACATAGAAAAATAATGGAATTATAATAGATACAAAAATATTCATTTCTTTGTGGTTGTTCCATGCTCTTATCTCTTCTTTTAGGTGGCCAGGTTTCAATAAAATATAAAATTATTTTTGAGGCAAGGTTTTTTTTGTCAAATCTACAATATACAGAATGATAATTAAAAATTCAATATGTAGTGACAAATGATGTTCTAATATGAACTTAACACTGTATTCAAAGGTTTGTTTTCAAGAAGATTGTATTGCACTGATGCAACTGTATGTAATAAATATTGGAGAAGTTAAAACTATATTCATGAGATAACACCTAAAATTAAATGTAAGCTTCCAGTCATTTCTGATTTGGAAGTGTGGCTCCCTTCAACGTTTTATATCTTGTCTGTACAGTAACATATGGGGTAGACTGGCAAATTGGCATTGACCAATATCTAAACTTTTAGAAGTCATACAAATTGCTAGCTTGAATAGTAATCATTGCTAATGGTTTCTTTTCTCCCATTTAAAAGCTGAATGAAATTAGACAAAAGTACACTGATTTACTTGTATATTCTATTTATTAACTTTGCCAGTCTCTTGCAAAATGAACTTGTTGAAAGAAAATAGAGAAAAGTCAAGTGAATTTTGCATTTCCAGAAATTGAGCATAACTGATGATTAAGAAATATTTTTTTTTATGTAACATGTTTATTTCCAGAAATATGAAGCTGCTAAATTACATACACAATATTCTTGAACATGTTAAGATTTGTACACTTGTAGTATGGCTCAGAAAATAAATACTGTACATAATCTCAGTGGTTAATCTAGAGGCAGTCCTTAATTATGCCATCCAATTATCACAAGATTTTAATCTTAGCAAGCAGGAGCACATTACCATTGTTACAAAGAAAAAAAAAAGCCCCATTGCTATTTCAAACTAGCATCTATATACACCATGGTCATTCTTCTCAAAACACGAAAAAAGAAAAGAAAAAAAGGACAAAACTTAACAATTATAAGTATATATACATGAATTCATTGTCCACATTATATCAAACCATTTGTTTTCCTACAAGTTTCTCCTTTTGTAAGTGAATTTCAGAATAACAATGCAAGTCCAGCCTCCTACAAAATAGTAATTCATTTGCATAAAAACTCAAGCATCACAATAAATAAAATTAATATCCATATCATTGTTCGATGAAACACATCTTGAAAATAAATACTCTGTAGGTATTTCTTTTTTGTGATTGCTTCCACGAAGATATTTAACAATACTAAGAGCAAGTACAAAACATGTATGAACGCGGTATACTTACAGGACTATAAAAATTGCTTGTTACAACCTTGCAATGATGAACTCGGATAACTTTGTGTGATCTTGTATTCTAACATAATATATATATGCAGATTTTTCTTTTTCTCTTTTTCCTGCTGCTTCTATATTTATTTTGTGCATCAGAGCATGGTTGCACAGAAACAGTTGCCTTTAAATAAGAGTTTGCTGTCTATGCCTATACACTGAACTACCAGTCTTCTATTTTGTTTTCCATTAACTATTCTGACAAGTAGCAAATTCTGGCAATACGAAAGTGGATGATGGCCACACAGAAGGTGCGACATGAATTCATAGGTCATAAAGACATGGTACTGTTGTGAATGAAATTCAATGTAATGTGTATGAATACTAATGATTACTTCATAAAAACCACCAACTAATTTCCTCAAAGGAGTCGGTACTAGATGAGATGTGAAGCGTCCTAGTATATCAAAATGGTCAATAGTTTCTCATTTACAGCAGGCTAACCCTCCTCCCTTTTCTATACCATAGTAAATCCAGAAATACTAAATTTTGTTAGCAAGCGGGAACTTTGTCTTCTCTACTAGAGGAATATAATGATAGAAACAAGTAATTCTTACTTCGTATTTCATACTTTATAAATATTGACAGAAAAGATTTACTAAATCTTACCAGCTACAATAAAGACAAAAGGCTTCAGAAGTTCAATTATAAAACATTTATACAAAAGTGGAAATCTGAAAGAAAAACATGAACTTCAGGGATTTTGGCAAAAGCAACTTTAAACTCTTCATATATAAAACATAAGATAAATCTTCACCTATATTTCTGAAACCAAGCCGATATACATATCTATATGAAATTTATGGTGAGCTGTGTATATCAGCAGGCTAAGAAATGAATGCTAACTAATAAGTGCACCCATTAGAGCAATGTTTTATTTTACCCTTGTCTTAGAAACGCCCTTTTCATCATTAGATTTTACGTCCTTTAAGGGTTGTTTTTTTCATGTCAAACACGTTCCTTACACCGTCCCTTAAATTCACACACATTCTCTCTCAAACTCCTCTCGTGTTTGGGTCTTGGCACACTTTGGGTTATCTTTCCTCTTTAACACTGCAGTCACTGGCTTTGTAATATCAAGATTCTTAAAATTCTTCATTTTCTCCTTGTCATACATTCATCTTGGAGTCCCCTCCTATTCGATCAACAAACTGGAAAGAGTAAAAATGGTATTACTGTGTGTTTAGAAAGAGTAAAGGAAGAAGGAACTTGCGAGTTTGTTACTAATTAGCTCTTTGTTATTAATTAAAGACAGATTTATTGTGAGGTAACAACAAATTTTAGAGATCCATTTAAATGAGAATATATAACTTTGTAATCTATATGCATACTGGGCTTTTATCAAACTATTAATAAATACACTGGAAAGGGTAACATAACATGCTCACCTTCCAATTATATACATTATATCTACATTATATATATATACTATATATATTATACATATTATATATATTATACATAGACAAGATTTCTCCAGACTAAGGAGATACTTTCCAATACAATTTTTCACAGGTTTCTTGTCCTTAAAGAATTGTGACTATAAAGCCATATCTAAGTTAATTTTATTTATTTACATACCATATTTAGTAGAATATAAGCCTTGCATTGAAACCTTCCAAAATGCTGGGATACACCATACAATAAAATGATGAAATTTAACATGCATTTCACCCACCACCACCATCACCCAGTTACAGCTGCTGACTTTATGCTTCAATAATATTCAATAATAAGACTTTGAGCAGCTGTTTCTGCTCTTTACAGACCCATACTCTTTTTTTTTTATCAATTTCAAATACTTAATACAACCTTGACAAATATTTTGTTATAAAATAATACTAAACATATATGCAAAAATATATAAAATTTCCATATGGTATTTCGGTCTAAAAGAGAGGAGAAGACAGAAATTTTCTATATGAAGTTCTGTAGAAACTTGTACAAGAGCTTAGAAGAGACAGCAGCTTATATTCCAATAAATACAGTACCTATTTTCCTTCATCTAAATTGTGGATGCAAAAACATACCATGAAAAAAGCAAATTTCTATCGCGAGGCAGACTCGTATGAAATTATATATAAAACAGAAAAAAAATGACTAACTTTATACATGAAAAGAAGAGAAAAAAAAAAGCTATCCAATTTAACTTACAGTAAAGAAGCAAAACTACAGGAAATATTGCCTAAAGTGCTTTTTGGAAGTTAAGATTTGGCATTTAACGTGACTGAGAGAAGTTCGAGAAACATCTTGTTAGTTAATGAACTTCCCTTCAATTTTGTCATAAAGATAGAGAGATGCCTAAAATGTTAAGGTGAGACTTAAGTGTACTTATAAATGTTGTAAAAAAGTTGTAAATCGGGCCACAAACAGAATTTTAAATAGGACCCCATACAAAGCTAAAATTAAGCAAACAAATTTATGTAAAAATACTTATTAATGAAGGTTTTAAAATTCCTATGAACAAAAGTCAGAATGTTCCTTTACTCAAAAGGTCAACATACACCTGTAATAAAGGTTTAAAAGTACTTAAAAACACATTTAATGAGTCACTGTCAAAAGGATTCAATATGTACATAAAAAGGGGGGTTTAAGTAGCCCAGCAAATATAAATAAAGACTATAAACGAACGGCATAATATATTCACATAAACAAGGATTTAAGTATGCCTGCAAATTAAGAAAAAAAATAAATAAATAAAAGTGGAGACTAATCTAATGATATACTTACAAACAAAACTATAAAGTGTTTTGTGTTGGAGGAGAAAGCTGCCTTGAGCTGGCAGACTATGAGCCATGTTAACAGAAAGTCTTATCAATGGCTTTAGAATGATGGGAAGGCCTCTTAATATTTTGAAACATGCAGCATGGAAAATGACCGAAAATAAATGTAGACCTAGCGAGTGAATGGCAGGGGTAACAATCTTATAGGAAATACAAGATATGAAAAAGGGTAAAATACACCAGTTGACAGTAGTAAAAAATAAACATGAAAAAAGTCACTATACAGGGAATGGTAACAATAAACGATCATATTTACTAGCATGACCATAGCAATATTAACGTTACAAATCTAAAACAAATTTGTACAAATCTCCTCTAGCAAAAGTGAAATCATGCTGATAGTTATAATAATCAGAATATCAATATACATTCAAACATTAGGAAAATACATGTGATGAAAACTTCTGCAAGAGATTAAATTTCATTCATCTCAAACATAAGGTTCTCTGGAATATACTACAAAATCAAAATCCAACCTATGAAAAGGGCAAAGAAATGAAGGAAAATAAGTTTAAATAAGTATTACCTCAAATAACCTAAATAGTAAAAAAATAAATAAATAAATAAATAAATAACTATATGGAAATTCTCATTTCTGATCAGTAGTTATATAGTTAAATTTTTTTTTTAAAGGCGAAAAAAAGGAAAAAAAGAGAATACTAAGCGCTGGCTCAAACTACATTCCCAATAATCAAAAGTAGAAAATAAAGCAAGAACTAAAATGTACATGATAAAAGAGTATTACAAACAAGGAAATAAAATTCAGAGACAACCAGAAATCAAAAAAAATCTAACCAGGAACGAAGTAGAGATACTATCACTTTACTTACTTTTTTATTTTAAAGCTTAACTGAAGGCTAAATTTTCCCTGTATTTCCTAGTGACACTTTCACTATATGAAATCTAGTTCTAGTCCTAATGCCGTTTTGCAGATATCCATTCCCCCCCCCCCTAATGAAAGATAGGAACAATATGCAATAACTTCAAAAGCCTAATTCATTTCATTTTCATGGTTATCACGGCAAGCTTTTCAGAAAAAAAAAGAAACAATGATGAAAGCAAAGACCTCTCCTATTGCCCTTATTCTGAAAAACAATCAGCCTGGGTCACCGTCCACAGCAAAACAAAAAGGAACAATGGAAATCAAGAGGAGACCATGGAAAATGGCTCTCAAAATAAAATCTAACCAAAAGGGCAGAAGGCTATGATAATAAAAATTCCCCTCCAGGTCCGTAGCAAAAGGCAGATCGTCAGCAAAGGCCCAGATGAAAAGGAAGGACAAACGCTAAACCAGCGGCCAAAGTTGGTGATTGGTTAACATAAAATATCTAAATTTGGCAGGCATTATTAAAAAAAGGCCAAACATTTAGTACATAAGATGTGGAGGGTTGAAATGCATCAGCAAAATACATAAGAAATGAATAAATATGAAAAAAAAAAAAAAAAACCATTCATGAACACTAGGCAATATCTAAGAAGTTATTCCAACTAGTAATACCTAGACACTTATAGTAACTCAGAATTCCTAACCTCATTAGCTGATCCTACATTCCTGTTCTTTTAAGTCACACTTATCCCTTTTCACGTCTCAAAAGCAACACAAAAGCAAAATTTCATCTCGTTTCTCCTTTATCGAAAGAACAGTTGCATCCAATTTCTTCTGAATGATTAGACTGATTCTGCTTATTGTATATTTCCATCTTGATATACATTTTCTCTCTCTGACCTAATGAAGCAATCATCCTAATTTCATTCCAATCCTCCTATCGCATCTAAAATTACATGTTCAATTATGTAAAAACAAAAACTAATTTTCAGCTCATTTTTTTCTATATGAATCAAGAATGACATGATTTAAAAACTTGAATAATATATAGCCTATGAAATACAGCCGTTTCAATATAGTGTATCTCTTCATTTTCTCTCAATTTTTCTGACATCATAACAACTAACAATAAATTTAGTAAGTCACAAATCTGCTACAATGCATAGATTTCCTATAACCAATGTTCTGTTGAAAATAATCCCATAAACTTGAAGAGAGAGGCCATGAAACAGAATAAAATTTCAAAATATATTAATTATGATTGATATTCCAGTTTTAACCCACTACTATTATCTCTTGCACAAGGGAGTTGGTTAAAGTGTTTAAGGAAATCAAAATTCATCAAAAGAAGAAATAAAAACATACACATTGAGGACGAGACATCCCCACTTCTCAGAAAGTGAAAAAATAAACAAATGCTGCAGAAGGAAATCCATGCAAGTCTTATCAACATTAGACAAAATCTCCTTTTTCCTCCAAGGGTGACCTTACTACAAAATATTTCAACTCCTCTCATCAATAATAAAACACATCAACAGACTGTTTAAAACTACACAACTACTTGAACTTGCGGGGGAAAAAAAAAGGATCGACTGATTTTTCATACCCTCCACCATATGCGTTATTACATGTTTACCTTGGCTTACTCAAGATGACGAGTCTGGGGGCAACAGCTGAAATGTTAAAGAGTGGATTTGCTTAAGAAACAAGGCACCCAACTTCAACACAACATGAACAAAGACAAGCTTTTGACAAGGGCTCATTTGCCAAGAAAAAAGAAAAGACATTTCTGTTCTGTCCCATGCATTTAGTAAGTGTGTGTGTGTGTGGGGGGGTGTCTATACTGAAACATATATATATATATGTACCTATGTAAGGCATTGTGTATCTGTGTATGCATGCGTGTATGGGGGGAGGGGGTAAAGAGGGAGGTAGGGTGTGTGTGTGTGTGTGTGTGTGTGTGTGTGTGTGTGTGTGTGTGTGTGTGTGTGTGTGTGTGTGTGTGTGTGTGTGTGTGTGTGTGAGAGAGAGAGAGAGAGAGAGAGAGAGAGAGAGAGAGAGAGAGAGAGAGAGAGAGAGAGAAAAAGAGAGAAAAAGAGAGAAAAAGAGAGAAAAAGAGAGAAAAAGAGAGAAAGAGAAAAAGAGAAAAAGAGAAAAAGAGAGAAAAAGAAAAAAAGAGAAAAAGAGAAAAAGAGAAAAAGAGAAAAAGAGAAAAAGAGAAAAAGAGAAAAAGAGAAAAAGAGAAAAAGAGAAAAAAAGAAAAAAAAAAGAAAAAAAGAAAAAAAGAGAAAAAGAGAGAAAAAGACAGAAGAAAGAGGAGAGAGGAGAAGAAAGAGAGAGAGAAAGAAAGAAAGAAAGAAAGAAAGAAAGAAAGAAAGAAAGAAAGAAAGAAAAGAAAGAAAAGAAAGAAAGAGAGAAAGAAATAAAGAAAGAGAGAAAGAAAGAAAGAAAGAAAGAAAGAGAGAAAAAGAGAAAGAAAGAAAAAGAGAAAGATAGAGAGAAAGAAAGAAGAATGAAAGTCAGCTGACATAAACTTCAGCCAGCTTAATAGTACACTAATTCACCAACTGGTATTAGCAAAGTATGGGCCATTTGCAACTTGCTGGCCCTTTCAAAAGTACCCAGGTAAAGGTACCCGCAAAAGCTTGAAACTGACTACCACTATTTATACTGGAATATCTGTATCCTTACTGGCAAGAATCTAGGTATCACCAAGGAAGAAGATATGAAATAGAGATGAAAAATAAATGAAAGAAAGAAAGAGAAAGGGAAGGAAGAGAAACAAAGATAGAAGAGGGGGGAAAAATGATTAAGAGAAGTGAAAAAAAGTGAAGATGGAAGAGAGAGAAACAAGAAAAAATCCAAAAGAAAGAAACCATGCATGGTAAAAAAAATAAATAAATGTGGAAGTAAAGAACGAAGTAAAGAAAAGAATAGAAAAAAAAGAAAAAGAAAGATCGAGAAAGGAAAGCAATGGAAATAAAGATGAGAAATAGAGAAAACTAAAAAAGAAAGAGTATAAGAAACTAGGTGTAGTACAAAAGGTAAGAAAAGAGGTAAAGCAAATGATAATAAATGCATGACATTCACTTTTAGCTAGACAATTATAAATATATGCATTTACATGGAAAAACCAAAGAGAAGATATTTTTTAATTAAATTTACAATCACTGTAATATGTTTTAATGGTAGTTAAAAAAATGGATTTAATGATGATAGTAGCATCATTAACTTAAAATCAACTACACTGTACATGATAATAACATAGGAAGTATACACTTAGATTATGACCATTAGTATATAAATACTAAAAAAAATTATAAGTATAAAATCAGTAAAAGTAAAACATTAAGAAAAAGAAAAAAGTAAGATTTACCACAAACAAAAAAAGGGATAAAATCATTATCATTATCATTACCATTATCATTATGATTATGATTATGATTACTACTATGATTAGCATTAGTAGTAGTAGTGTTATCATTATCATTATTATTACTACTACTATTCTATTATTATCATCATCATCACTCCTATCATAATTATGACTACTATTACCATCATCATCATCATCATCATTAATAATAATATTTTCATCATCATCATTACCATCATTACCATCATTACAATAATCATAACATCAACCCAACAAGTGGCATTTACGTATAAGCTACAGCATTTCTAGATGTCCAAGCAGCCAGGATCATAAGATGTAGGGAAGTTGAGAGTTTCCTGAATTCCTAACTATTTCTTCAAGGGGCTAACTGCATTGTCCAGTATAGCGCCTGCAACACCCACTGGCTTCGATATGTTATGATTTTTTTTACCTTTGTTTTTTTGTCTCTTTAATTGTTGTTATTGATGATGATAACAATAATTATCGTAATAAATATAAGAACATAACAATAATAATGGTAATAAATGTAAGAACATAACAATAATAATGGTAATAAATATAAGAACATAACAATAATAATGGTAACAAATATAAGAGCAACATTAATAATGATAACAATACTGATGATAATGATAAAATTAGAGGTGATAATAGTAGTAGTAGCAATAGTAGTAATAGTAATTTTAACATCAACAATAACAATCATGATAATGATGATGGTGATGATAATAATAAAAGTAATAATAATAATAATAATAATAATAATAATAATAATAATAATAATGATAATAATAACAAAAATAACGATAACAATAACAGTAATAGTAATAGTAATAGTAATAGTAATAGTAATGGTAATAATAATAATAACAATAACAATAATAATAATAATAATAATAATAATAAAAATAATAATAATAATAATAATAATAATAATAATAATAATAACAAAAACAACAATAACAACAATAATAATAATAATAATAATAATAATAATAATAATAATAATAATAATAATAATAATAACAATAACAATAATAATAATAATAATAATAATAATTATTATTATTATTATCATTATAACAACAATACCAATAACAATAATAATAAAAATTAAAAGATTAACCCCTATGAATATTTTCACATAAGATGCAAGCCTTATTCTTTCTTCTGCCATGACTGTGCTAGGCCTGTCTTTTCCTGCAGCTCATTCATAATGTATATCCATTCCACTAACATATCAAGCATTGTATGGCCTGTTCCCCCCCAGCTGCTCCCCCATAACCCTCACCCCCTTGTGGGCCCTCCCCCTCTCAGTGCTGTGAATGCAGTGTTGCCGTTGATATTGCCACAAAAATTGATAGACTGGACTCCAAAAACCTGCTCAACAGATGAGTAAAAATTCCTCATGTTCCCACTAAAAAAAAAACAATGAATACTGAGCAAACTATCAAAAATTTCCCGCCAGATCTCGAGTTTTTGGGTTGCATTCAAATGGGGAAAAGTTTGCTAGAATGGCAAGACTGTGTGAATGGGGCATCGTGTGTGTGAGGCGGCAATTTGGTCCCGTTTTCTATATTTCAGTCAATCCCCTAACTATGTCTTCTCCAGATGTCCCCTTTCACATACCATACTATAATTTTACATATGACTGAATTATTATAATAACTATTGTAATAATAATAAATAGAGGAGAGAATAATTAAGAATATATATAAGAAAAATAATTTGTGCAAAAATTACGATAATAACAATAATATTAACAAATTATCATCAACATCTTTATAATCATCATCATCATTATTTCACTACTACCATCACAGTCATTATCATCAAAATCATAATTACTATTATTACTATATTCCTTATCATCAGTTACATTAAGAGGAAAACTTGTCAAGGTTTATACATGTATAGAATACTTTGCAGAGATTATCATTATTAATATAACAATAATGGTTCTCTTGTCACTCATCTTATGAACTAGAACGCTGTTGTTGTTAACCCTTATGTAGCAGCATTCAATTACTTCTACAGTTTTATTTGCCAAGCCAAGCCAAAGGCTATTCATGACTTTATATTTTACTTTTATGATGACAATGCCTTCATTTCCCATATCATTTCATATCATTTCCATTTGTTAAATAGAACACAATAAGTTTTGTGTCCCTCACACAGGTATGATAAGTTCTATCATACTGCAATGTAGTAAATCACAATTGTAACATTTAACTGAAATCCTAGCTTACCAGTTTTAAGGCTTATTTTAAATATTTCTATTATTCAAAATAACAATTTTACCCACTTCTGCATTTATTAGTAGAGTATGACTTATCAAATATTCCTGTACAAAACAAAGGCAGTTTTTATTGGAAATTGAAATATAGGTCCTTATTGTAATAAAGCCCCATTACTATTAACAATATAAATCAATAAATCTATTAAAAATAAGCCTCAACTAACTATGCAGGAATAATAAAAATTATCCATTCCCAACCTTTTAACTCCTCATACGTAAATAGAAAACTAAAAAAAAAAAAAAAAAAAAAATTGCATAATAAAATCTCATGGAGCAAAATATGTAAAATAACCTTTAAACTACTGCATGTCAACCCTTATCGATGTCCAAAACATCAGGTGATCTCTATGACTTCTATGTATAAGGCCATCTCTATCTCTAAGAATCAGGCGATCTCAATGAAACATACGGAAGAAGTGTTTCCACTACTGACCATGGATGTCTGTCACTCTTGCATCTCTTTACAGTGGAGAGAGAGCCAGTAAGCAAGAGAAAAGAATGAGATGAGAGGGAAAGAGATGAAAGAACAATTGTTATACGTATTCTAATAGCAACACCAAAGAGTTTTAACAAAATGGGAAGCTTATATCATTTTAACATACATTAAAAAAAATTGTTACCAACAAGCAGAATGCTGAAATACTGGCAGGTTGTATGGATTGTCATGCATCTGTAACTCCTAACTCCTCACTACTAACCTCTTCTAACTCATATACTAAGCCGAAAGTGTTATATCCTGTCATCCTAAATCCAAAGGTGCAACTGCTTATGAGTAGAGTGAACGAGTACTCTTCTGCCACTTGAAAGCATGCACATATTCTGGCAATACTCTGATGATTGGTAACTTCTTTGCAATTTAGGGTGTGTTCCACTTATACATCAAGAGTAGATTCAAATATATATAGACTTTTTTTTAAATAAATAATAATCAAATATTACTTTTTAATTTTCGAATAATGAGTCTCAATCCTCCAGTCACTGCATACCTTATTTTAATCCTATGTACAGAGAGCATTCCCATTTACGGGATAACATGGCTTATCAGCAGCACTTTTACATGTTGCAAAGAGAGTTTTAACATATCTCTCTCACATGCTTTCTTTATCACTGTAATACTCTCACATTTTTCAAAATAATTCTGATATAATGATATCTTAAGAATTCTTTCAGACTAAATTCTTGGACAATTATTACTATAACTGCACTACCTGGGATTACATTACTTTTAAGATTATTTACAGGGAGGGGATTAAAAATATTCTAAATATGGTTTAGATTACAAAAAAAAAATGTGACAAAGGTATTTTGATATCTATTGCGGAAGACTCTACAAGGTATTACCTGCTTTTAGGAGCGTGAATAGGGGTGTCTTTGAAGTCCCATTGGTTAGGAAATGTTTTCATTCTCACAGGTTAGATCAGTAAGTTCAACTACCTTATCAATACACTTCCATTCACTTTAATACTAATTTTTAGTCCTATGTAACTTTTTGGATGTCGTTTTATAACACTGATTCATGTAATCTAAGATACATAATTCACAAACTTCTATCTACCCCCTGCCCTCTAGTAAATATAGTCTATATTACTGCAAACACAAACATAAATGTTATAAGATATTCACTATCACCACTTATCACTTAGGCAGTTTTAATCAATGATGCCATGTGGCTTGGCTGATACCTAGTCTTGAACCAAATTAATAGTCTATTTCTGAAAACTGATTGATTTTTTCCAAGAACATTTTACAGAGTATATCTTAACACTCCTGCCTTTCTCAATGGGCATTTCCTTCAACAGCTCTAGTAAGATAACCAAAAGCTTATTAGAATGGCTTATGAATGTCAATAATGAAAAGCAGAGCAGTGATTTGACAGAATTTTCTTAGGTTATTAATCTACATTAATGGGATCATATGATTATTTATGAGGGGTGTAAAATTACATGCTACACTACATTAAGTATATTCACATGTGTCTTTACTTGATCATTTTTCTTAAAATGACGTGTCCTTGTGCTGATCCTAGTAAAGAAATCTTATATTCTGACAGCTTAAAGCCTCTTCAATATCATAAGATAGTGAGCTACTAATACCATAAAAGTAACATTCAATATACTAACAGCCTTTACTAATACCTATCTTCCACATGGCTAAGTTCTAATAGAATGTCTTCAAAAAATATAATTAAAAATTAATCCTCATCTCTTCTTCCATATAATGATCAGAAAAGCAGGATCATATAAACTGCAAAAGCTGAAGTTATTTTGAGTTGGCTTTAGATATCATCATACATACATTCTGCACTTCCTCATCCTGTTTTTGTTATGAAAGCTAGATACACTTAATATCTAAATATTCTTTTTTTCTTTTTCTTTTTATTTATCAATTTATCTATCAATTTATTTTTTTCCTTGCTAATCATACTGCATAATGCTAGTTCAGCAATTTGACAAAGAAGAAAATCTGCTCAGTCACTGTTGTAGAGAAGAAGGGTTGCATGCATAGAGAAATCAGTCAGCTTACAAAGAAGCTATTTGTTCTACCATCATGGTTATCATCTTGAAAAGATTACACTATTTGCCATTCAGAACAATTAGCAAGTTCCTCTATCACCACAACTATGAACTAAACATCTATTTTTAACTTTAACAAATATAGACAACACCAACATGATGCTGCAAATCTACAACCATTATTTCAAAACCACGAATAAACTGCCAGATTCAACAGCATAATCGGCACTCTCTAAGATCTAGTCTTCAATAAAACAGAACACAGGTAAAAACCAAAGGGGTATCACACAGGGCTACAAATTTTCATCACTTGACCATTGAGCACTCTAATACCCAGCATTTCTATTTGTACTTTCTACCCAGTGACACAGTGTACCCACATCCCCTGCTCTAGTACATACAGATGGGACATTAACAACAGAGATGAAAAGAGAGAAAAGGTAGTACGGTTGCCCTCCATGAACTGTGAACCGGAAGAGGCAGTTACAGAGATGTGTAAAAAATTGATTGATGAGAATGCAGTTGGTATGGTGTATGTTGCAGCACACCTGTTGAATATATAATCTTTATTTAAGGTGATGTCAAAATGAATAATAACTAATAAAACGGCAGATTTGTTTGTCTTCTTTAAAACAATTCCAATAGATATATATATTGCGTGTGTGTGTGTGCGCGTGCGTGTGTGCCCGTGTGTGTGGGTGTGTGCGTGTGCGTATTCATGCATATACACATTTTTGTTTATTTGTGTGGATAGCAAAATGTCATCTGTAAGTATTTCATTATATATTACTGTTAATTCAGGTTTCCATGCAACTTGGAGAGAGCCCACAAATAGTATTTGGGGCACTGAGTTCTGGCTCTCTCTCTGGCCCCCAAGACCAGGCTGCCCACAACACCAAGAAAAACATGGTCAGAGCACCCAATGACCATTATACAGAATTCTAAGCCCTGTATGATATCCCTTTACATTCCTTTACATTTCATTTACACTAACTTAGTCTAATCACTGAACTTTCAAACTGGGACTCTGATTACTTAGCAAAAGAATAAATAAAAGGAAATAAATAAAAATAAACAAACTAAATACAAAAAGCAAATAAAAAAATTATATATATATATATATATAAACAATTCTGAACTTAAGCTACATCGAACTACTCCATACCAAAATAAGCAATACTTACACCACTGATGAAAGGAAGGTTGAGTATCTGACCGATCACTGGCATACGGCGCAGGAAATTTACCGCAACTGGGAAGAATCCACTGCACATGAAGAGAAAATGCATCAGACCATAAGCTATTGCGAAAACGGCATACGCACTTCCTAAAAAAAATCTTAACAGTAATGAAATGTTAAATAACTTGACGTCTATTTACCCGACTACTGTATTTTTTTTCCTTATCAGTAATGCTCATAATTATTATACCTGCTACACATGAAACTTCAGCACTTACCTGAACAGTATTACAAAACCATACACTTCCACACACATGCCGATTAAGGGCCAGCCGAGCAAGACAGTCAGGATCCCTCCGAAGAAAGCCCCAGAGCCTTTCCACTTGTGGCGTTGGAAGAAAAAGCGGAATGTGCGTTCCAAGCCAACCACAAATGCGAGGCCCGCCAAGAACAGGATCTGTAACAGGGATTTGGGTTATCCATTTTACTAGGCTTTAATGTGTATATTGCCCTGCAAAAGTTTCTTTTCTTTTTTTTTTCTGAAAAGTGGAATCTCCTGACTAATGGAGAACTTTTTCTTTCCTTATTTTTTAATAAAAGTCCACTTCTGATATAAAGATAATAAAGGACAGGAGATTAAATCCATCCATGCATATCCTTAAACCTGATCATGCAAAAATCCTGTCTTGTCTTTATTCTGACTTCATAACAACTGTTTTTATTATAAAAATACCAAATAACTTCTATTGTTTAAGTGTATAAAAAAAAAAAAAAAATCTATACACAGACTTACATTGCCAATGGCTAAGAGTCCTTTATCAAAGAAGAGGATAACTCCAAGGAAGATAAAGGTGACCCCAAACGCGGCAAACCCTACCCCGATCTCTGGAAATTACAAAAAGATATCTTAATACCCAGGTACATCAATACTGGTTTATTAAAGAGAACAAAGATATATAAACAGCATATTGCCTCTCTTATTAGACCTTACTTTTACTTTCAAAGTGATGACTGATATTACATTCATTTATGACATGTGTGATTCATGGAGAGGTTTGATTACAGCGCAACCAGCTGATGAACAACAAAAGTTAAACTAAAATATCAGTAGAGAAAATCCATATATATAAAAACTGCACACAAGGCATAGCAGCAAGACATAATATATGTTTCTCCATCTAGAGAGTACAGGAACATTTTTCCATTTAGTGTAAGTGAAGATACCAAGAGATAAGGCATTAATCAGTGAGGAGATATGGATGAAAAACAGACATAAATGGTTCTTGGACAGTACCTTACAACTAACTGTAATAGTATTAAAAGAAATTTCATAACCAAAAATTATCTGCAAGTATGTGAAAATTACAATATATTATCTAAGAACTCAGGATGTAAGATAACAATATGTATGCAATGAACAGGATATATGCAATGTTTTCTCTGCCTAGTACCACGATACTATTGAACGCACACAATTTTTTTTTTTTATTACAGGAGGTAATTTAAACCCAATAAGTAAAAGGAAATTGTCATCCTTAACACTCAGACCCAAATATAATCCCATGTTAATTCTTGAAACAATCTGCAAAAAATCATAATAAAAGAAATTAAACCATACTCTAGCAAACATTTACAACAAATCTAAAGGTAAGAGTTACAGCAAGAGTAAAAGTAGTATATCTAATAATGTTTTTTTTACATTTTTGGTAATATGCCACTAATCAAATCCCAAAACAATGTCACAAAATTAATTAAAAAATCCAAGTTGCTGTGACTGGGTGTCCCCTTCGGGCATGCTAAATACATGCCATAAATTCCTACTTGTACCACATAACCATTGCCACAAACATCTGTTTTCATAATCCTCTATAAAATTATCATATCATGGAATTTGCCCATTAGTTGTTTTTTTTTAATACCTTCATCTCATCAGTGACCAGAAGTGACAAATCCTAGTCATATGAACCTTATGGGTTAAACAAGATATGCATAATTTTTACTAATTTTTATTTTTACATCATCAAGGAAAAAAAGAATTTGTGCATCACTGACATTAATGAATCCCATGCTGATGGACTGCATTTGATACATAGCATCCAAACACAGCAGATTTAGTCTATTGAAAAAAACATAACAATATTCGTAATAACTAAGAGTGGCATTAATGACAATCTTTATACTACTCAGCTGTCACGTTAACAGCCAACAAACCTCCACCATAATCAGCAAGATAACAAATCTATCCAGGCTCTATCTTAGTAGAGTACATGTGAAGGAGGGATACATGTCTTTACCAGACAAACAATTTAGCCATGGAAGTCAGAGCAATTGCCAGACGAGATTCTGCTATCATAGCAGTGGCCATCTACTAATGCTCTACTGGTTTTTAAGAAACCTTGATAAAACACTCTTGTAAGGAGAGTTATTGGTGGTGGAGCCCCTAGGAAACTGTTTGTTTCTTTACCTGCAAGATATGAACATAATCCATCATTGCTGTTAAATCACTCTATACTACGTCTACCCCCCAATTTCCTTCTACTTTTCCTGCCCTCCCCAGCCACTGAGGCCAATATAGTCACTAAAGTCACTATCTGGACAGTATACTTCAATAACAATCTAGTGATGCTATTTCATCATCATGTGTGACTTACAGTATCTGTACGGAATTACTGGTAATTATTTACAGTACAGACACTTCACAAAAATTTATTCAACAATCTAAGTTGCCATGACTAGGCATACCCATCAGGCACTGCCTGAGGGGAGGGTTGACCAACATCCCCTCGCAAACTGTCTTCACCTGTATGCAAAGCAAGATAAAGCTGAAACTCAGGAGCACCGGATGGACTTAGGTTGTGATCGGTGTTCTCGTTCATGTTTACAGATCCTTTCTTGTCCCGACAACTGTAACTTTTTGTCCTCTTACAGAAAATCATTATTAATTTGCCCTAGCCTAGTGCGTCCAATTAACCAAATTAAGCAGAACGGGAATTTCGCTTCAACACTGACTGCCTTTACTTTAATGTGCGTTCCAAGCCAACCGCATTCTGGGAACCGAATATTTTTATTGCAGTGCAATTTCCTTTAGATATTCCCTGCCCTAGCCAGTCAGAGAAAAGTATATCATAACCTAATTAATAATACCACCATAATAAGCATAGCTCATGCATAACCTGCTTAAAAAAATAAATAAATAAAAATAATAACTCCCATGTCCCAATTTACATTACAAACCGAGGGTCTTCCTACGGCCTCCTAACACACAACCACCCACCCAATTCAATCCCAAACCGACAGACAAAAACCCTCATACACACACCCCAAAAAATAATCCCATTTCGCCCCATTCTCCCCTCCATAAGACCTCCCCATCAGGCATTACCCCCCCTCTCTCCCCTCCCTCTGGCACTGCCGGGTCGAGAGCCAGCTGACAGCTCCCCTTCCAGCCCCTCGCCTCCACGGCCATTCTACCCTCTCCCTCATTTCCCAACATTTCCCGACATTTCCCAAAGATGAGGATCTAAACTACGGATAAAAATAGGAGCCCCAATCCCCCCGTCGGGACTCACTCTGGGTGTCTGTTATCTGGATCATGATGTCTGGCGTGTCTCTAGTGTCCACGATGATGTCTGGCGCGTCACTGGTGTCCACGACGACATGTTTTTGAATGGACACTGACGAGCTCCCGATATTTTGGCAGGGGGTTTGAATATTTTTTTTATTTAT